ATCCAGTAATTTTACCCAGTCGACACTTAGTGACGGAAATGATTATTAGACATTGTCCTAAAGAACAAGGACACATAGGAAGATCATTAGAAAAAGGGTATGGATATGTGTTTTCTTGTTTGCAAACATGGGCAGTACATATTGAAATGATGTGTAGTTTGATTACTGATTCATTTATAATGGCCTTATTACGTTGTATTGGAAGAAGGAAACCTCCGGAGATTTACAGTGACAGTGCGTCAAGCTTCGTGTGGGCAGTTTCTGAGTTAAGGAAGTTTGTGCAACAGTCGAATCAGCAGAAGATAAATAGTGAATTGTCAGCGAGGCCCTCATCCAACAGCATGAGTGGAGTTTGGGGAAGAGTGACTAAGTCTATACCACGAGTGCTATTGTTGAACACCAGAGAGCAAGTGAAACAGGTCTCTTTGAAGCTTCGGATTAGTCTTTGTTGTTATTAATGTAGATAGGTCGAGTAGGCGTACTGTTGTAAGTCCTACTCGTTCCTATGGTGTGATATGTTATATAATGAACCATGACCGTAGGCATCGAGGTAGCTTGTGTGGTATGGAGGGATTTTGGGGGCCGGTGTAAGATCCATTTTGAAGGTTTTATGTGTTGGTGAAAATCCCTCCATGTATATACTTGTACTTTGTTCCTATTGATTCCCTTAGTTGTACATTGTTGTATTTTGATTACATTTGAGTTGTTAATACTTGTATTTTTTATTATAGTTTTGTTTTTCTTACGCATGCACTAAGTTTGTGTTTCTTCCTGAACTGCATCTGTGTTGTTTTACTTGACACTTATTCTTGGCGGTAGCCATATTGATTTGTTCCTCCTGTTGTGTATGATCTATCCAGCCAGGATAGAATAACGTTGATTTGTTGTGATTGGTAATTTTTCCTCATCTTCTATCAACTTCTTTATTATTGTAATTTAGATTTAATTGATTGAACAATCATTGGTTGAATAGCCGGGTGATAATATTTGTTTAGGTAATGATTTACATTAAATTTATTATGAATTATAGAACCGCTAGTTACCCGATTACTTGTTCTGATTTCGACGGGAAAGGGCGCGTATCTAACATCCTCTATCGGCTATTCTTCAACATCCAAACCGTAGTTTGGATTCTACAATACTCGTAACTGAAGTCCAGCATTCGCAATAAATCAAATTTGGGTGTACCGTGATGTGTTTATCGAATGCCATTTCGTCAGCTCGTTTTACATGTACACTGAAATTTTGATTGGACTATAATTTATGGACGATCTTTGAGCGACGCTAAACCAACCTTGAGAGTGTCCACCTACTTGTCGGGGCTAAATGAGGGTTATAAAGCAACTTGAAGAATAAGAATTATGATTTGCAGTTTATGGTTAATGTCAGGAATTAGATTTAGGGTTTTCATCACGAATTGACATCAGCTATAATGCCAAAATTCTATTTAGCCGAATGGGTGAATGAATTTCGCGTCAATATCTTAAACGTCTTATCGTATATCTGATTAGTTCGTCCATAAATTATAGCCTCGCCAAAATTTTAGCCATTTTCAGAATATCTATTTTTGTCCCATCATTTCGGACATGTAGTTTAACTGATTTTGGGCTCCTCGAACAAAATAAGGTTACGGACATCAGAATCAAGTGCTACATAGCTGTGGCAACTCTGGGTAGAAGTAACCTAACAGAATCGGAAAACAAGTCGGAAAACTCTTCAATTTATCCACCGCACTCGTTTCAAAAAGGGCAGTGATTCTTGTACCTGTTGCGATTATCCTTGCTTTGAGTACTTGTTGCACCAAAAAGCATTCTTGGTCTACCCTAACTAAAAGTACTTTGGTTAAGTTTTGTAATCTTTTGCTCAACTTTGTCCTGTAGTACCTTTTTTAACTCCTTGACTGACACTAGTGTTCTCACTGTGATCATTTAGTGTTTTAGACGTTTTTAGTCAAAATTAAAATGGTTGGTAAGACCCATAAATGTGGACAACCAAACTGCTTGTTCCTCGTTGAGGAAGGGTTGCAATGACTGTAAAAAGTGGCACCATAAGATGTGTGCACTCCTAAGTTCTATGGCATACAAAAGATGCTCGAAGCCTAACTCACGTTGGCTTTGTATGTTCTGCTGTACAAATAAAAAGTTACTAATTCATGAGGCTATGAGCCTATTGGCTTCGGCCTGCAAAAAAACGATGGTGGTAGCGCTGGTAACACGAGCACTGACGGTGAAGATTGTGTCAGTGTAGTAAGTGCTGCTATCGGACTCGCTAAACACCTGACTGTGGTTGACGGGGAAGTAAAATCTCCGTTGACATTAACGAGGAGTGAAGTACCGGTAGATACTGACATCGAAAATCATACACCTCTAGTCGAAATTGAGGACCCGGATAAGACTGTCACCGTTCCCAATAGTCCCGGTGTGGCTGTCCTGAGTGGTGATAAGTGGACTTCAGTACGGAGAAAAAGAAATGAGAAGAAAAAAGCTGTAGGCAAAACACAGCTGGTCTGCAAGTCATTGGAAGAGACGGTATCAGAAGCAAAAACTCCACTGCGTGACAAGTTAGATCTCTCTGAGAGATCAGTCATTTTTCATAAGTTAAGAGAATCTTCCGATAAAGAACCAAAGGCTAGATTTGAACACGATCTCAACCATATTAAGTCCTTAATAAGTAAACTACTCCTAGATACAGTTTCAGGAGTTAGTATTTGTAATCTTTATAGAATATGAGAAAAGATGGATTCCGAAAGTCCTCAGAAAAGCCGCCTCTTGAAGGTTACATTCACCACTGTTGAAGAAAGGAACCTGATTCTAGATAATTCACGTAAAGTGACTGGAGCCCGAATATACGTCCATGGGGATCTCAGCCTAGCTGATCGTATTAAAAGGCAAGTTACAGAAGCGGAAATAAATGAGCGTCGCCAAAACGGAGAAAGAAACCTCGTTTTTAAGGGTTTCCAAATTGTAAAAGTTCGGAGCAAAACGATCCCCAAGCCACTCTGGGTGTTAAGGGAAAGTTCTCCACAGACTTAAAGGTATGCTACACAAATGCTCGCAGGCTACTAAATAAAATGACGGAGCTCAAGTCATTGGTGGATAAAGAAAAAAGGACGTTATTGCTGTCTCGGAAAATTGGTTAACGTCAGAAATATTAGATAGTAAAATCCAGTTGACTAGTTTTCTAACCAGTAGGGCTGATAGATTAAACCGTAGGGGGGGCGGGGTTATTCTGTACACGAAAAGTACTCTAACCATAAGACTAGCTGAGACAGTAGCACATGTTTCAGGGAAATGTGAACTGGTGCGATGTAAGTTGAAATGTCGATGGCAAGATATTGAATTAGTTGTAGTATATCGTAGTCCAGAATGTGTAGCAGATGATTTTCTTCTAAGTTATCTTAAGTCCTGGTGTAACAACGGTAAAAGCCTTGTAGTAGGCGACTTTAATGCACCACATATAAACTGGGTGAACTTAGAAGTAGGGTCATCCATATCGTCGTTCGACTCCAAACTGTTAGAAACCTCGATTGGACTAGCATTATTCCAACACATTAGAGATCCCACAAGATACGACTTAGGAAACTCTTCTCTTTTAGATTTAGTCTTCACACACGGTGATGACGTTGGCCAAACGGCTTTTCTCCCACCACTTGGGAGAAGTGACCATGCAGTCATCTTATTTAAATTCATGGCTGAGATTGCTTGTCAAACAATTGCGCCGGCCCGTCCTAACATATGGAAGGCAGATATGCAGGCAATTAACTCCGTAGCATCGGCTGAAATCTGGGAAATTGACTCAAAGGCATCAGTACAAGAGGCATGGACTCTTTTCAGGCAGTTATACAATCGGGTAACTCAATCATACATACCCTGGACAGTCCCAAAGACGAAGAAGCACGGACATCCCTGGTTAGGACGCTTACTAAGACAAAAGGAGAAATATTGGGATGTTGCCATCCGCCTTGGCACAGCAGGTACGATGGAACGCTACAGATCGATAAGAAACGAGTGTATAACTAAAATTCGGGAAGCGCAAAGAAAATATGAAATGCAGCTGGCAGAATCTGCACTCAAGCAGCCCAAGAGGATATTCTCGTACATAAACTACAGAACAAGGATCCATCATTGGATTCCCAACATAATTAAAGAAGGAAGTGAATCTGAAATGATAGAGGAAGATCAGGAAAAAGTAGAGGCTATGGCTGACTATTTTGGGACAGTTTTCACTCAGGAACCTCCTCTAAAGGAAGAACCAGGCAAAAATAAACAGTCAACAAACCACCTGCCCACCGTGGACTTCGATCAAGACGATGTATTTAAGGCTCTTGGCACTTTAAACATGGAAAAGTAAACAGAGCCAGATGAACTACATCCCAAAATATTGGGACATATTGCACAGTATATCGCGCCCCCACTGACTGATATTCAACATGTCACTTGATCAAGGAGTACTACCTATGAACTGGAAGGACGCGATAGTCACTACCATACACAAAACAGGTCCACGACAAGTTCCATCGAATTACAAATCTGTAAGCCTTACCAGTGTTGTGGGTGAAATAATAGAAAGAATAGTCAAACGGACCATAATGGTATTTTTGGAAACCGATAACTTGCTAAACATGGAACAACATGGTTATTCTCTCTTTTTCTCCCCACTAGATCGGGGCATCTCAGAGGACATAGTAGGCGAGTAGAAAAACCAAGAACGAACAAAATACCTGCGGCATACAGGATTTCACATCGAGTCATCAGTACTTGGAACCTGCTGCCCGAAGCAGTGGTGTTCGCACCTTCAATTGACTCTTTCAAGAGAAGACTGGACACTCACAGAAGCATAATAGAAAAGGAATAACATAGGTCGTAGGCCTTCTGTCCTTAGTACACAAATCTGAGTCTGTATTTCATATGACGATTCGATACGTTAGTACTAAAAGGATGAATGAAATAGTTACTAGCATCAATTCTTCGCTACAATCTTACTTCTGAGATATGTTAGACTTAAAATGTCAGGCTCGGTTCAGTAAGAGTCATCAAAACTACTCATTAGTTAAGTTCAATAAAAAAGTTTTTTCACTTAATGTTGACAATTTGTTTTTTCGACTAGGTACTCATTCTGACCAATAGCATTGTCACATATCAACGAGGTCGGTATGAACCTGGGGTTACACGCCTTGACGTTGTCGTTGTTTTTTAGTTCTATTGTAGTTTACTGTGGGTTAGTTTTGGTATTTCTACAGACGTCTTACCATTTTAATATAGTAGGGATTTTTATGCCATCCTAAATGTACCTCGTGATGCAACTAAAAGTGAAATCAAAAGAGCATACAGAACACTGGCTAGCAAGATTCATCCCGATAAAAATCGTGAAGATCCAGAAGCTGACCAAAAGCTCCAAGATGTAAATGAAGCTTATGAAGTAAGTTTTAGAAAAGTGTCTGGTGGACTTAGTGTTTTCGTAACAGTGAACGCCGTTTTGTAACTAGTCATTATTCAGTTACTGTGATTTGTTAGACTCTGATATTCATGAGGTCTGACTTGCGGTATCCCTACTTTTAATTTTTTCAGAGTTTGGCATTCGCCGGATGTAGATGTTTTCTGGGTATCTCATACTTTGTCGTACACGTCAACCTGTCTTTATTTTTTGTTTATCTATTGCTACTACGTGTAAAGTTTGTGCTCTAAAAGTATCTTGCTTGGTTTTGTTCTCCTTTTGTTTAGTGTAAGATTTCATTGGATTTCCTGAAGTTGCGAAACCGCTTTCATGTCTTTAATAACTCGTATCGTGTGTATGGGTTTATAAATAATAAACATAAGGTTAAACTTTACTCCGATCTGTTGAGTAACTGAATTGATTAACAAATCAATGCGTTATAACCGCACGAGGTAACTAAGAGTTTTGTGCTGATTGAAGGGTACAGACAGTTTCGTGTCAATAGTCTTATCCATAATTAGATTTCAACTGTTTGGCAATGTATAAAACTTTTGACTTATAGCCTTTCTCACGAAAAAGGGTCAACGTACCATTATGTTTGTATCATTCTTACCGATTGTTGGTAACAAATGGATTGAATGGGGATTGGAATATCATTAATACTGAATTTATGTTTGAACAATTAATCTAATCGACGTATACATTAATAATAATTGAATGGACACAATTGAATTGAAGGTGTAATATTAAATTACATCCAGCACTAGACCTTTCTGTATTCATATTGTGTTGGGAATCACACTGGTACCAGTAACGCCAGTAATTATATCAAAACTTCAATCCCTCTGGTACAGCGGTTGTATCGTTACTGGAATTACACTGGTACTGGTTTGATTTCAAATTATATTAGAATTACAAAATCATAGCCTTGTTTCGCAACAATTTCACCCCAATCAAATCTGACCGAAGTATAGTGGAGTGAAATGTATTCAGTGTGTTATCTCAAATATTGATAGGTCAGGTAAATTCTAAAATAAGATTAGCAGACGGATTAATAACCAAAACCATCATAAAATATATGTAGATCTGGGTTTATAATTAATCACGCGACTGCGGATAAGATACATGGGATCAAATCAATACACCTGATAGTCACCTGCTTAGTCAGATCTTGTAGTTCAAAATGGGTATAAATTTATTTGAATTTGAAATGTCTATGTTGATCACACATATACTCTTCGGAAACAATCTTCTGTAATTTCTTCATAAACGTGAGCTTACTAACTAAACATCCTGTACTTAGGTTCTCAGCAAAGATGACAAGCGTAAACTTTACGATCAGTATGGTGAAGAGGGTCTAAAAAGTCATGGAGAACATGATTTTAATCCATTTGGTTTTGCCCGATCTCCGGAAGAAGCACCACGTGGAGGTGATATTGTTATGGACCTGTGGGTTACTCTGGAAGAACTCTATGTGGGGAACTCTGTAGAAGTGACTAGGCGTAAACTGGTCAAAATGCCTGCACGTGGAACTCGGAAGTGCAACTGTCGTATGGAGTTACATACAACAGTCCTAGGCCCTGGTCGTTTCCAGATGCACCAAGAACAAGTCTGTAGCGACTGCCCAAACATCCAGTAGGTTCATTTTTGCAGTTCGTTTTGTCAAGAAATAAAATCAGTTATAACGACCGTACTACATAGTGTACTTCATACATTAAGACTCATTGTTTATTTTCTTTTGTAGCAGAAAAATGCGTGGCTAATCCAAAATAAGAATTAATTATTCTGTCTTATGTTGTCACACTTATTCACTCTTAGAAAAAACAATCAACTGTAAGGCACTCCAGCCATTATTGTGTTGTCGTATCATCATATTTATATTAGATTTTGACTGCTTACACAGCTATTACTTCTGTGCCAGCTGTTTAATGAGTATATGATACATTGGTCATATATATTATTCTAGGAAGACTTAGTAACCAGCCTGTGATATAATAATTTAATATACATTGACTGACTACTAATTAGGTCTCATCAGACGGAAAAGATTGTAATCACAATAGCATGACATCGAATCTAAATTTATTCTGTAGAATGGAGCATATAAATGCTCCACAAAAAACTCACTGATGAAATACATTAGTAAGAGCGGCAAAACTGTCCATCAAGAATTTTTATCTTTAAATCCCTTATTTATATACTTCGTGTGTTAAAATGTTGTTTCTTGGCTAGCAGTAAAATTTAATAAGTGATGCTTCAGTGTACTTAAACTATGTACAGGATTAAATTTGTCATACACATTCTATCAGAGCTGTAAACGCGATACTGATAATCCAGAGTGTGTGTGAAAGCTATAGTCAGAACAAGGACAACTTGGCTTTAAACTTTATCTGGTTCTAAACGTAAAAAACAATTCGATTAGTACAATAATTAGTCGAATCGTAGCCATTAAGTGAAACGCACAAACATACCAACCAGTATTACGTGTCTTATTGAAATAAATAATAAAAATTATGAGTTGTAGTCACACTAACATGATGGGATAATAATGTCCTTCAATTGGCAGGTCATATGCAACAGGGATGGTCTACAGTTACATCAGACCAGGGTGACGTGGTGGGCGTTTAGGTAATGATTTGATGGGTTAGTTATGTTCATAACTAACACTAGATTCACAGTTACTTCACAATATTAGGAGGATCCTATGCATACACTGAGCCTTGGTGGTGAGGTAAGTAACCAGAAGGTTTATGCATATATATCCTGATAGAAGCGTTCCAGACAAGCTCTACTTTCCTATATTTCGTAAAAACCCAGCTGCACTACATGCATAGTTCACTATCCTAGCTAGATGCGACGTTCTGAGATAAATGACTTTCAGTGTTTGATATTCACTTGATGACAACACCATCAAGATAATTATAAGGCTTAGTAGCTGTGGCTCAATAATCAAGACATTCGGGCCCAGCTCTACCTACTTCATTTTGGAGAATCGGGTAGTTTCGATAACCCTTGGAATGAATGCAATCACACTAGTGTATATCTGATAAGTGATTTGAATGATTAAATAATGTAGCATGTAATTGGCCATGATAAAGATGGTTTTCAGTTAAATTAAGCCATCCTGGAACACCGGCTTTTGTAATTCTGTATATGATATGTAAGGCGCTTACATACAGGTCTAGCCAGTTAGTGATTAACTACCGTGAGGCCCCCAAATGCCCTGCTACGTCCGGGAGTGCGGAAAGCCAGCTTTTCCTCGAAATGCTCTCACATGGTCACGCATATACAGACACATCCTGAAAAGTTCTACTCTGTCTTCTCGCGGCGGGGGTGTTTACGAAATAGAAAGGACGAAAAGCGAATGTCCGACGCTTTAACCGGTTTGGCGGGTACAGAGTATCCAGCTAAGGGAGTTGGAGAACCATGATTCCAAACCGAATGTTGTACATGGGTTCTAGGATCCAGAGAGGACAAATGACTTGTGAACCTACGGTTGGCCACCGGCTACCATGGGACTGCATCTCCTAACATTGCTCCGCTGCCTTGTGGATCGGACTTCTAGGTCAAGGGCTCAGGGTGTGGCCCCCTGAGGAAACCACATTCTTTGGTTTGGGCACCCGGGAAGTATCCCAGCTTCCAAACAAATCGAATGGCTTGTGTGTCGGATATATTTGGTACCCCTTTGTACCAATGTTTATGTGTTGAAATAAAATAAAATAACCGTGAAGCAAAGGATATTTACATCGAACTGTATATAAACTGTTTTCTGTATTAGTTTCATAGTGATTATTATTATTTGCTTTTTCCATTTCTTAATATGATTTTCATTTCGTGTTTCATGTTTTTGGTGTCACTCTTTTATGCTCAAACTAAATAAATAAACCAACTCCATAAGGTTTGTACCTAAGGAAAGAAACCTCTATGTGGAAATTGAGCCAGGAATGAGAGATGGGTATTTTTATCCATTTGTTGGCGAAGGGGAACCTCATTCTGATGGTGAATCAGGTGATCTGAAATTTCGTATTAAACAAAAAAAGTATGTAAAACGTTTCCCTTTTTCTCTAGTTACTTTTAAATTACATTTTACAACATTGCGTATAATAGATAACTTATGTTCAATTTCCTTAGAGAAACAGTGGTTTACAAAATTTTTCGCGTTACCTTACTACTGAATGTTTAGAAACTGATCAGATGATGGGGTTATGAGTAGCAAAATGCTGTCGTACATATTAAAGTGTTTGGCTTTTACCAAATACTAATTCTAAGTCGTTGTTAAAGTGAAAAATGAACATTGGATTTTGATAATATAGCATTTTTTAGTCACTTAACCAGTAATTCTGCATTTATATCCAAATAATCCAATAATGTCATGAGTGTATTCCGTAAATTTCTCTGTTTCGTTCGACCAAAAATAACTATAAAGACATTCCATTGAATTACAATTACAGGAAAGTTTTTCACAAAACTGACGTCCATTAAGAATAAGCAACTCTATAATGAACTTTATAACATCTATGAAGTAAAATGGAACCTCGCCATTTAAAAATGTAATTATTTCATTGAATTGGCTTGTAAGGACTCAGTTAGTGAATCCTTTTGATAGATTTTCATTAAACATTATTTGAGAAGCTTATTTCAATCTGAACATCTTAATTATCCCTTCATCGTTATTGTCATTCACCTCCATTATAATGAATCTTGAAAGCGGATGGTAAAATTAGTCGTAGTGTTTTATCAATAAAGCCTTGTTAGCTAATTAATGTGATTCACTAATAAAACTTATATCTGTGCAGTTGGATTTGAGCCACACTTAATGTAGTCAGATCGAAGCACGTTGAAAGAAGTTTTGACTTGTAATCAAATGGTTGAATATAGGGCCCTCTAACTCTCGAACCACAAATCCAGAATCTAATCTGTGGTAACCTATTTTCAGTATATACTTAGTATACACCAAAGATCTTTAGTTCTTGTTTAAACACTATTTATTAATCTTATAGACACAATATATTTCATCGACGAGGTGATGACCTATACACTAACATCACTCTAACTCTGGTCCAGTCGTTGAATGGATATCATGTTTCATTTCCACATTTGGATGGCCATCAAGTAGGTAGTTTTCTTCTTTTGTATTCATCCGTTTTCATTAAATGCTTTAAAATTTTGTCCCCCTGCATCCTTTAGCATAGAATTTGTAAAACTCCAAGCAGTGAATAAAGTTAATGAAATTTAAGGAGTAAAATGTTAAAGCAAGTGATGTTATTTCTAAGTGCTCAAGTTTATGGCTAACAATATTGACACTGATAGTCACTTAACTATAATAGTTGAAATACTGTACTTTTTTGTTGAATTCATTATCTATAGCTAAAGTGAAGAGCCTTCTAAAACAATAAATTAGAAGTGAAGAGGACACAAAGACTTCATTTTACTACACTGACATTAAGCTAGACAAATAAATATCCAGTGATCGTTGTGACGGAAAAGTCAACATTTAACGAATCGTGTAACAGTGTTTGCCGAATAATGTTGACTGAAACATTAAAAAGAATGTACGAATAATTGTAATACTCAAAAGTAAACTGTAGGTAAGTATGAGAAATTGTTTGGGTCAATCTCTATGGTGGAAGTATTCAACATGAAAATTTTGAAATAATCCAAATCTGGAGTTTCGAAACTAACCATGATAGTGTCACAGAAACCACTATTTCCTTAAAGTCCCAATCACCGCTTTTGTTTAAAATTTTGTCTTTTTTAATAATAGGTTGTTATCTCAAGTGATCATGTAACCTCTCCAGGGACAATTATTTATAAACCAAATGAAGGAATGCCTAATTTTGAAAATAATAAGCGTCGTGGTTCTCTTTACATTACAATCGATGTTCAGTTTCCTGAAAACTTTAAAATCCCCGAAGATAAACGTAAAATGATTGCAGAACTTTTTCATTCATCCAGTACTAGCACCACCAATACTCTTTCATCATCTCAGCCTGATCAACCAACACCAGCCCAAATTTACAATGGTATAGATGGAGGTAGCAAAAAGATAAATGTAAAAAATTAACTGTATCAATTCGGTTCTATGTAAACTACCCTGTTCGTGTTTTCCTGTATTTAAGAATCGTTGATTTATCCAACCTACTTTGTACAGCTGTCTTCTACCCATTTATTTGTATTTTTATGATATTTGCTGTTGTTTTTGACCAATTCTTAGACCTGTTTTTGATTTTATTAAAATATTCCCAACTTTGCGGATGCAAGTACAGCTGAATTCTGTTTTTTTTGGTAATAAACATTGAGCAAATTGAATTGATAGTTGATTTTTTGCTTGATAAATGCCAAGACGATTTATTGCAACGAGTTAATAGGTAAACAATTTAACTCATCATTTTTGTCTATGTAAATCAAAATGACAATAAAAAAATGCTCTTTTGTATACACTCTGATCTTATGTATGTATATTTGATTAACATACAGTTTTCATTCCTCTTATCATATTGTAGCAAAGTGGTTAGTAATCATTTTAAAACCACCCCACAAACACCTAGTTTCGATTGTTTTTAAAAGCTAAATTATTACATATATTTTTCATCAGTAACTGGATGTAGTTTTTTTATCTGGGATATAAATGGAGATCAATATGATATTAGACATTTTTCGACATTTATACTTAATGCCAGTTGAATACCTGGTATCACTAAATCTGTTTCTGTTGTTATATTCACTGGAATAATGCACCCGAGGTCAATTAAAGTCGAAAGACCGTATTGGTTTCCCAGAATATATGTGAGTATATATAAATATTAAGTGACTATAAGAAATAATAATTATCTTCGATTAAAAAAAATTCCCAGTCAATGCGATAAACTTGGCAACAGTCGGCTGATAGGTACTAAGTGGCGATTCCAATAAACCGGGGTGGATTTAGTGTGTATCAACCAATAAGATAACGGTTAGTTCACGATTAGACAATGAAATGCGAAAAAATAAACTATTGAATACAACACTTGTTATTCACAAGAAGTACAGTTAAAACAAAACGAATCTCACACTTATGCTACGCAATATTTAAGTCGTCCTGTGATCATATATCTATCCATATGGGAGACCTGTTAGGTTTCATAACATTTTGTAGCCAATATTTTATAAATTATTTGGGTACTTTGTTTTCGGTTAATATCTATGGTACATTCATTTATTGAGTTATGTCCACTTTTATTGCTTCCATACTCTGTGGTAGTTGTGTTACTCATGGCAGGTTCAACAATAGACTATCGAACTTACATCTCACAGTTCTGTCTCTTACTGTCTTTGTGGTTTTTCTGAATGTCATGTAGCTGGTCATTTTTTTATTTAGTTGGACACACACCGGTATAAGGGGTCACCAAATACATATGTGCTACACATTAATAATGAGGTTATTAAGAGATAAAGTAGTAAGTACAATAAAAAGAACAGCAACAATCAACAAAACTTAGTGTAGGGGAGTGAATTATTAATAGTGGGAGAAGCAGTTTGAAATATAACTAATGCATCTGATGAAATATGAGAAATACGACACACAGGTAGATGCCTAGCTGATATAGATTTTTAAATGCGAGGCAGATACTTAGTTCATAAAGAAGTCTTAATTCCTGTCAGTTAAACACTACAAATACAACACAGAGAACACCAACCCAATCACATTTGATGAAGAAACTGTAACAGGTGGAAACTCCCACGTATTCGGTCAGCATGATCGATGAACGAGGAGGATCTGGTGCACACGTAAAGGCGAGGATTGGCAAAGCAAGGACAGCATCTCTACAGTTGAAGAACATATGAAACTCAAAATAACTGTCAACCAATACGAAAGACAGGTTCTTCAATACGAACATCAAGACAGGTAGTTCCATTATACGGAGCTGACATTTCGAAAACTACTACAACCATCAGCAAGAAATTATAGGTATTTATAAACAATTGTCTACGTGAGAAACTCAATATCCATCGATCGGATACTATCAGCAACAACCTACTGTGGGAGAGAACAAGCCAACTCCCAACTGAGGATGAAATTAGGAAAAGATGTTGGAAGTGGATAGGACATAGATTGAGGAAATCACCAAACCGCATCACGAGTGAAGCGCTAAATTTGGATTCTGAAGGGAAACGGGAATGTGGAAGACCGAAGAACACACTGCAGCGAGAATTGGGAGGAGAAATGAAAAGAATGGGTAGCAACTGGAGGCAAGTGGGAAGGATTGCTCAGAATGAGGTTGGTTGGAGAATGCTGGTGAGCAGCATATGCTCCTCCACGAGGTGTAACAGATGTAAGCAAGTAAGCTTGAGACATCAGTCTCAGAAAATACCTCACTAGTTAATCAACACATAATTCCTTTCACTGATGGGCTTCGTAGTTTGCTAGTGTTGTATACGTTCAACATCATCTATCTATGGAAAAACAGATAGTTGCATCGATATTTCGTAACTTTAAATAGCTCCAGCACGCTTAGTTTTCATTCTATCAATTAGCTTATTCGTGGGTCTATTTTTAGAAAAAAAAACCCAATGGCTTTGTTCCAAAAAATAAATCACAAACATCAAGAATATTACTACAAACAATCCGAAGTTAAGGAAAACTCTCCATAAACTTATTTATAAAATGCTGAGACATTTAGGTGGAATAAACACCAACAAATCACACCCTTCCCTGAACAATTAAAGGTCAAGTTGTTTCAGTAGGAAGGTAGCTGACATTCTCTCCATTGACCTCAGTAACAGAATGCGAATTACTTCATCACCACCAGGATGTTGGCACATCTAGCTTTCGAGTTCCAAATAGTGCGAAAAGTTTGTCCTGCATTTCACTACTGGCCGTTATCCAACTTTAATAATATAAACATTTTCTTAAAAAGTTTTTATTAATTTCTTATATGATTCTAAAGTTAAGTTAACTTTTACAACATATTTCGAGTGTATATCGTGATAATATCAATTGATGTAAATAAAATAGTGAATAAGTATACATATTTGAAGTTCGTTTTAAAAATATGTATATATAATAAAAGTATGGTTGGTTTTATGAATTGATGATTATGTATCAGGTATCCCGAACTTAGATTTCTTATATAATCACTCCGTTCAATCATCCAATTGACATAATAAAGCGACACCTCTCATAATCCAATGACTTTCCGGTTTATCTGATGTCAACAGAATTGGTAATACAAAATTTGTAGAATGTCCAGTTGTTGATAATACACCACGACGTTCACTTGTTTTGTAAACTGGTGCTGTATAACTAGGCCTTGATTTAATATCACTTCGTTTTATTGGTATTAACCAAATCTGTGAAAAATATTTAAAAAAAACAAAACAATTTCAGTGTGAGACTAATACTTCAGTGGGGTTGCATTTAACTAACTTTCATTTTGGCTCATTAGTTTTCTCACATCAAAATAATTTACTACCACATACAGTCAATATGGCAATTTTGAGGGGTGGATTATTAAGAATATTTTTAGCACCTAGTATTCTTAATCTTTTAAGTTTACGTACAAGACATTTTTCAGTGAGTTTAAACTATATGAAAGTTCTGGATTTTATTTTTTACCAAGATGGATGTACTAATAACAATTAGTATATCCAATCGCCGTTGGCAGTTATTCGTGTTATTGTTTGGGCGGTCATAGGTCTTATTAGTTTTCAGAGAACTTCCTATTAGTTAGCTCTATAATCTGATCATTCATTGATGTTGGGATATTCAATGGATGTGAAAGAAGTTGAACTAATAATAATGCGTGATGACATTCATCATTATCCAATTTTAAATAAAAGTGTGACGTTCTACATTTTTTTGAATATCTTTTTGTTGTTGTTCAGTTAGTGAGTTAATGATGCATTTAAAAGTTTAATTTTTACTGAGGACTTCGTTTTTGATCATCTAAAAGTATATTCAGTGAATATGCTAATGTAAAACATCACAACTTTCTGGATGAAAAAAAGCTTAAAAGTGAACGTTAAAGCTTGAGATGAAACCCTCAGTGAAAAGTATACCCTTCTAAGCATTATTCATCCACTAAATGAACGAAAAAAAGCTAGATATTGAATATATATGGTGAACATTGAGGACCGGATGAATTACAAACTCATGGACACAACGTTTAAATGAATAATTTTATTTTTGTCTCAATCATTTCCTATGTAAATAAACATATAATTTTATTGTGTACAACACTTACAGGTGGCATAGGATCTTGTAAAACTTTTGGTAAAGCTTCTGCCAATTTTTTTGTACTCCTATCCCATCTTGCACCATCCACAAACAGACCGGATACATAAGCTCCTATTAGATGGAAAGAAAATAGTTAATGATTTTAAAAAGAATTATTAATAAAAATACAAATAAAATGAATTAGTGATAAGTACAAATAATTATGTAGATAAGATGGAATGTGGCTAGCAGTGAAATCCAGGACAAGCATTTCGTCGTATTCAGGACTCACCAGAAGATTGACAAGATACTGGATTGTTTTGATGAATGCCTTATTGGAAATTATTTAAATGAAGCAAAATATTGCTGAAAACATACCATAATTATTTAAATGGGATACCATTCAGATGATCTTTTTCTCTGGTAAAAGGCAGAGTGTACTGTTATTTCATCGAAAATATTTTTGAGGTAAAAAAATCATAAGGAATGAATATTTTCCATCAGATCTTAATTGACATGAAGGTAAATGACATTGGAATTTCATTGGATTATTGACACATTAATTGCAATTACAATACTAGGTTGGTTATGATGACCATAGGGATTTAGATGAGTTAGGTTACTTACTTCAGCCTGTTGCACCTCGTGGAGGAGCATAGGCCGCTCACCAGTATCTTGAATGTGGGCTTTATTGAACTTTTGTAATGCTGTTTCCTCAGTTGTCCAGTGCTTCTTTAGCTTCTGTTTCATGTTGGCTACAACCAAGTTATTGTGAATTTATCAGTCGCTTGTTATCAAGTGATCTACTCGCCAATTAAAATAACACTTATTCGCTCTTATACTGTACTAAACCAATGACGTTCGACCGGTCTCATCAGCCTAGCATCCTATTGGTCCGTTGCTCGCCTAGCCCGTCCGGCTGAGTCCAGAATGCCAATAACAGCCTCCACTATGTGAAGCATTTATTTCAGACATACTGGGTTTATATACCAAACAAACAGACCGCAAAGCACCATAAAATAGGGAATAACATTTGTACACAATAAAGCCAAAAAGTGGTTGTGAACGTGGGAGGCAGTAGTCAATAAACTGAACATAGCTTAAGAACAGTAAATCGTACAATAATAATATGTAGGTCAAAATAAAGCTAATAACAAGGGGAATATAGATATAAATGATTTAGTTACTGAACATTCATACCATAAGAATATATAAATAATATTAGTCAATTAATAGGTCTCAGACGTTACTCGTGATTTAATCTTCACTAGGATATAACACAAGTGGTGATCTGAAGCTGTGTCAACTCCTCTCTTGGTTCTCACGTCTTCCATCGGCATTGTAAATGTTTTAGTGATGCAAATATTAACGATCTGGTTCTGTGCATTGTAATCCGATGAGACCCATGTAATTTGTGTGGGAATATTCTGCCACTTATAAACATTTTGCTGAATGCACATAAGTTTGCAAATGTCACCATTCTCTTTTCTTTCTCCCACTC